CGCGGCGCGTTCCTTCACCTCCAGCCTGGAGGCCACCAGCAGCTTACCTTTTATCTAGTTGGGGCCAAAGGGGTGCTGGGTAAGGACGTTGTTGATGGCCAGGCCCGCACCGTGCCATCCTCAGGAAGCTGGGCCCATGGCTGCAGGCCCTTGTCCTGCCACAGGGCCACAGAAAAGAGCAAAAACTGTACCACACCGTCATGCCCAATGTGGGAGAATCTAATATAGAATCTGTGTGGGGTGGCCCAGCCTACCTGCAGGCCAGGGGCCCCCAACAGAGGGTGCCGTCCCACCTCAGTCTTTGGAGGCTATTTCACAGCTGCATAGTATCTACCCCAGGCCTGCCTCCCAACTCCCGCTTCCTCCAGCCTTTGCCCTGGCTCGGGTTCCAGACACAGCACTGCCCGCGATGGTACTGAGCCTTGCGCTCCAATGTGGGCCTCGGAGCAGCAGGACTCTCAGGCCTCAATGCAGTCATCGCTGGATCATCACATGCAGTTTACACAAGATCCCTTCAGGAGTCACAGGCACGCTAGGTTTGCAAAGCACTGGGCTGGAGGATATAATCTTCACTGAGAGAATGGCCGTATTAGCTTTCTATTGGTTGCTGTAACAAAGGACCACAAATTGAATGGCTTCAGGTGATCCTCTACCTTCCTGATTCCGTGGTCAGCAGTCTGGGCCCAGTGTGGCTCCACGGGGCCTCCCGTGGAGCCTCCCTGGCAGATTCAGCCTCCAGAATCCATTTCCTTCTCAGGTTCTCTGCAAGGCTTCAAGATAGCAACAGTGAATCCAGCCCTCCGCCAGCTTCAGATCAGACTTCTGCTTCAGGCTCCTGTGATTGCACGAGGCCCTCTGGTTATCTCGCATAATCTATTTAAAGGCTGGCTGATTAGCAAGTAACAGCTTTATCTTGAAAGTCGCTCTTGCCAGGTGGCACAACCCCAGAGGCAATAGAGCCAAATCAGGATTCATCATCTAGGGAGAGTACCCCAAGTGCTGTGACTTTCTTATTGTAAATTTGATTGAGAGGTTTTTAATGTTTTTTTTTTTTTTTTTGAGAGATGGGAAGGGAGAGGAGAGAACATCGATTGGTTTGCCTCTCGGACATACCCTGACCAGGGACCGAACCCACAACCCAGGCATGTACCCTGACCAGGAATCAAACCAGGGACCTTTTGCTTTGTGGATGACACTCAACCAAGCCACACTGGTCAGGGCTACTGTGAATTTTGTCATCTGTGCCAAGCTTCTCTACTCGCTATACCCAGTTTGATTCTTCCTCCCTGGCCCGTAGTTTCACTCATGAGCCACTGCCCAGCACCCACCCAGCTATGGAGTGTCTCCCACCACATCTCGGCTCCCTGCCGCTCCGGGAGAGGACTCACTTGAGTGCGCGCGTAATTCTGCACAAAGTCCATCCCTCTCACGCCCTCCTTGGCTGGCTGGTTCCTCGGGAAGGGTCACAAGGAACAGGGCTAATAAAAAACATGGCGCCCCCCCTGCCTGCTATTTCATGTCCCCCTTCACTCCTCCTCAGCGCCGGCATTAGTCCCGGGCTGTGACCTGCGGGACGGGCACGCTCAGAGTGTGGCCGCACCCCAGGGTCTCAGGGGCCAGCACCCCCGCCTCCTGATTTTCTGAGGTCTGTCGCCAGCAAGACAACTCACTGTTCCAATTCCAAAGACTCATATTTGAGTGGAAAGAGTGGTCAAATCTTCAAATGAATCTAGAACTAATTAACGACAGCCTGTCACTAGCTGGTTGGTCAGGAGTCAAATCCAATTTGTTCTCGTGGAGGCTCTTCAGTGGTGCCAGGGCCGCGCGAATGATCTGAGACTGGCTTAGGGGACGGTCCCTTATCACGCTGTCCTTCATGCTGAAATACCGGCCCCCACCAGTCTTGACTCCCAAGTGAATTTTGATTGTTTCTATAAAGTCCATGTTCAATGGACAGATCCTGCAATTTCTGACAATAGTCAGACTACACTGTGGGCTCCTGAAAGTAAACCCAGAGGTCCTTCCTGAAAAGTTCTAAAGGTTAAAAATGTGGTAGCATAATTGGTCTAAAGGGACTTAGTTGAAGGTCAACAGTCACTGGGACATGAGAAAGCTGGTGTGTTCGAAAAGCAGACACACCCCCTTCTGGGAGCACTGGCCACCCGGGAGGGAAATCTTGGTGAGCAGCACCCGAGGATCCTCTGCTCAGAACACAGCTCTGCCAGGGTGGCAACTGGTGGGATCCAGAAAACTCTGAAATCAGTTCAGCAAACTGTTCAGTCTTCTTTAAACTCCAACTTGACAATTTTACTAAAGCAGAAACCGAGTGAAATGAAAAGAATCCCATGTGGACTGTTTCAAAGTCACATGCTCGTGACACCCCTTTTCGTACAATCCTGCCACACAGGAGGCTGCGGAGAGACAGCAAAGACTCCAGCTCCTTTCGCCACTCCCCTTCCAACGAGTGGAAAACAATCGCTCCAACACAGCAGCAAAGCTGCATTACACACGCCATTTCCAGTCACCAGGAAGGAAACGCCCCCGAGGCCTGCAACCTCAAAAGGGGGGGCAAGCCCTGGAAGCTAACATGAACGTGGACTACTTGTTGGCACTGTGTGTGAATTTACTCACTTAATCCTTGTAGCCCTCAAGGGTGGCGTTACCCTCAATTTACCGTGAAGGAGAGAGCTGCGTAAGATTTTTAAGCATCAACTGTAAATGAGGATTTGAAGCCAACTCTACCTCCCTCTGCCCCCAAACGAATGATCACGAGCAGATTCTATCAGAATTTCTTTTCCAGCAGAATCTAATATAGAATCTGGGAAGTCCTCCTCCCAGGCTGCACCAGCCCCGCCTTTCTTATCTCACCACAGGGGGAAAATCACCAAGAAAGAACAATAGAGCTTAAGTCACAGGACGAACAACACACATTCTGTACCACAGGAGGCGCCTGAAAGCCTGTTCGTCCGAAGTGGGACAGACTGAACTACACTCTAACTCGTCGCTTACCAGCCACCAAAGTGATCAAAATGAAATGGAGTTCACTGCAGAAAAGGATTCCAAGTATAACACAGCTTGGATGTGCGCCTGTGGAAACTAATGCACAATTTTCCTTGAGCTAGAAATATGACATACTTGTTCAATTTAAATACCAGCTAGTTAACTGACAGTTGATTTCACACCCACCAATCAAACTAGTGCTATACTCACTCCCTGAGGAGGCAAAGCTGCTTGTCTTTAGTCCTCTGTCCCTTGTTAATCAAACTGTAGTCTATGCACAGGCAGCACAGGCAGCACTTAGGCGGATGCTGGATATACAGGGGTTCTCATAGAGAATCAGACGCTGCATGTGAGATGCTCAGTGAAGTTTTGAGGAAAACCTGAAATGTAGCAGAAAAGGGCTCAAACTGTACCAGTCGGGAAAAGCCATGCCCCAACTTCTGAACCACAAGGGCATGAGTATGACTTAGTGACTTGCATGTATTCCCATTTTCCCCTCCAAAACTCACTTTGAATATCTCAATTCTTGTTTCATGGTCTGAGAACAAACTTGCTTTTATCTAAGCTCATAAAAAAAAAAAATCCATATTATACCTCAAAAAACACAATAGACATTTAATCATGTATTTAATAAGAATTTCACATAAGCCCAAGTTGACAGCTGCTGAGGCTCTGACCTGCTCACACTGGACCCACTCCATGACATAGCTCTCAACGCAGCAGCTTTTATCCTTGTTTTAGTCTCAAGAGACAGGATAGAGAGGAAAATCCAAGCCCAGAAAAGGCATGCTTTATTAACAACTCCAAGAATCATTTTCTTCAGTTGCAAAGACCTCTAAAATGAAAATCTGTCATCACTAAGACCTTAGTGAGAACAACAAGCAGATCTCCGGATGGGGGTGAGTGCCCACTGCCAAAGCGCGGAGGAGCCACGGGGACCCCGAGGCCCAGCTCACGCCGGCAGGAGCACTCGCGTTTTCTCCAGCCACGCCTGAGCCAGCTGGGGTGGGTGGGACCCATTCACTGACTTGCATCAAAACAAAGAAAACCTGCCCTGGCTGGTGTGGCTCAGTGGATTGAGTGCTGGCCTGCGAACTACCAGCTCACTGGTCCGGTTCCCAGTCGGGGCATATGCCTGGGTTGCGTGCCAGGTTCCCAGTGCGGGGCATGCAGGAGGCAGCCACACACTGATGTTTCTCTCCCTCTCGCCATCGCTTCCCCTCTGTCTAGAAATAAATCAAAAAACAAACAAAACAAAACAAAAAAAACCCTAAAAAATATCAGCTTTTCTTTTTCAAGGAGAAAATAAAAAATAAGCTTAAATAACCCCCCCCCCCGAGACCATATAGTAAGCAAACCTTTCTCAAGAGAGAAAACACCTGATATTATGACAAAGAATCATGAGAAACTCCTAAGGAAGAGGAAATATTTCATGACACTAATCAAAGAATGCTAAAATAAAACTACTGTTTGGTGAGAAGTTTTCCATGTTTTATATTTCACAATTTATATTTTTTATTAGAATCCAGTCCGCTAAATAAAAGCTGTAACAAAGTATTTCACAAACTATTATACAATTTAAATCTTAGGACTTTAACTGCGTTTAAACCTAAAAATGCTGTTTCATCTATGGTCTGAAATACTTTTTAAAAAATTTTTAATTTATTTTTAGAGAGAGAGGGGACGGGAGGGAGAAAGAGAGGGAGAGAAACACTGGTGTGCAGTTGCCTCTCACATGCCCCCAGCTGGGGACCAGGGCATGTGCCCTGACTGGGAATCAAACAAGCAACCTTTTGGTTTGCAGGCTGGCACTCAATCCACTGAGCCACCCAGTCAGGGCTGAAAGGCTATTGATAAGCAATTTAGTCCCAGCACTAACAATTCATTCACTACCCTTTTTTTTTTTTAACATGTTTTACAACAAAAAGTTTGTGTTCATAATCAAAAAGATTAACAGACTAATTCAGCATGTGAAAAATAACTTTACACGAAACTCAAGATAACTTTTCAAATCCACTTTTATTTTCTTTTCCTCTTCATACCCAGAACTTCCGCACACACGTTTTTCTGCAGCTATAAAGTCACTTCATGTTGGTCAGGTACCATTTCACCCCTAAAACTTTGCTGGCATCAAAATGACAGTTAACCAGTGTTAAATCTATAAAATATTTACATGGCACAGCACATTAAGCTTTAGACACTTGGCAATTAACCCACATAAAAATAGGACAAGACCCCTATGTTCAGAATCAGGTGTTCACAGTCCCCATCGGGCTACTGTGCAATGGTTCCCAAATGCAGCAGAGGCAACAGGCAGTTACTTCAGAGGACATTGGACACTATGATCTGGAAGCACATTACAACGTTACCCCAGTGTCGTGTACCACCCACCCCTCTCTCAGGGGGTCTCGTAACTCTAGAATGTCAGGTCCAGCTGATAGAAAATAAAAACAGACAACACAACATTAACCCTGTGGATGTATTCTAACTCCTACTATGCACGCATTGTGATTTTGAACGCAACTCGTCCTAAAAACTTGTCACGGTCATCGTGGTTTTTCAGGTTGGATGATCCAACAATCTTGCACTCGACCGTTGCTTCTTTTTGGGCTCCGCTAGCATCGAAGCCGAGCCGGATAGCCACTAACGGCTGTAGATAGCCCACCTGGCAAATGAGGAGGAAAAGGGATTAGTAATTCAAAGTAACTGCATCTACACTCATCAACAGTTGGCTTACTTTGTAAAATATTAAAACCAACAAAATTTTAATCTATTAATTAGATCTATTACTTCCCATTCTCTACCTTTCCTCCTTGAGACTGGATGTTCATTTATTTTCACTTTTTATTAAAAAAAGTGTTTATGGCTATGAGTTTTCCTCTGAGCACTGCTTTAAATGTATCTCTTGGGCTGTGATCATGTTGTGTTTCATTATCAGTATTTTTTAGATACTCTACAATCTTCGTTTGAATTTCCCTCAAGAGTTGCTTAATAAACGGTTTCAACTCCCTCCCTCTTTGGAAATGGTCTTTTTATTTTAAATTATTTATTACTAATTATAGTAATAATTATTGCGTTGTGATCAGAAAGCATCATTTATATTTCTACTTCATGAAACTTTAGGATGTATTTTTTAAAAAAGATTTTACTTATTTTTAGAGAGAGGGAAAGGGGGGAGAAAGGAAGAGAAACATCAGTGTGTGAGAGAAACACTCATCCGTGGCCCCTTGGACGTCCCGAGCCACGGACAGGGCCCGCACCCTAGGCATGTGCCCTGACGGGGAACCAAACTGGCAACCTTTCGCTTTGCAGGACAATGCTCAAGCAACAGAGCCATGCCAGTAAGGGCTAGAATTTTTTTTTTAGTGATAAATGTTTGTGACTGTTCCAGGTGTGCTTGAGGAAAAGTATTGTATTGTAATGTTTGATAATATGTGTAAGATCTACCTTATTGATTATGTGACTTAGGTTTCCCCCAGATCTCCTACTTATGACTTTGTGACGCTTGGTACAAATATACTCAGTTGCTGTACTAGCATTGTGATTTCCAAATACCATTGTTCCCGAAAAGGAACTAGGGGCTGATTCCAGGGCTGGGACAGGCAGAGTGTAAGACGAACCTGGAATATCTTGTGGTTCCAGGAAGGAGGTGCTCAAAGAATCGCGGGGGCATGTCGAAAGGACAGGGAAGCCACTGAATGTCTCCCGCCAGCCAAGACTGAGACAATTTTAGCCCCAAAATAAGTGATTATAATAGATTATAACCCCATGAATAAAATAAGAATCCATGAAAATATACTGATATACATAAATAATAAGTTGTAGAGAAGAAAAAGTTCTTCCTTAGAGTAGAATGCCAACAAGTAAATGGAAAAAGGAGAGATGTAATTAGAAAAACATTTGGGAACAGTTCTATTAACTGATTCATGCAAGAATCAACAAATGCTAAGATTATGGGAGAAACAGAATTTTACAGCCTCTCAAAAGTATTCTCCCTAGATTATATTTATTTATTAAAAAGGGGGGAAAAAGAAGAGTAACTTTACAGAAATCTGGCTGATACCACCTTAACCAAACAGCCAACGTTACTGTCACCATTAATGAGACTCATCAACACCATGTCCCTCCTGATAGGCTGTTCTGAAAAGGGCATAACATTCCTTCTGAGGCATATCTGCCAAAAATGTACAACCTACATTTATTCATGAAAATATCAGACAAACCCAAAATGAGCAAGCCAAAAAAGACCTGCACTCGTTTTTGAAGAGTACAAGGGCATGAAACAGACAGACTGAGGCACTGTTCCAGGTCACAGGTGACTGAAGATGCTGACAGCGTGACATCCTGGTGTCGGAAAACACTATTTCTTTTCCAATAAAGAACATTACCGGAACAACTGGTGAACTCTAACAAGGTCTATAGATTGGATAACACTACTTTAATAATGTTCATTTCCTTTGACAACTGTAGTATGATTACATAAGATAATGTCCTTATTTTTAGGGAAAAATACTCAAGCATTTAGTGTAAAGAGGCACCACATTTATAACTTAGTGCCAAATTGTTCAGGGGAAAAAATTACATATAAACGGAGACTGTTAAAACAAATGAGATAAAATATGAACATTTGGGAAATCTGGGGAAAGGCTCTTTCTACTACCCTAGCCACTTTAAGTTTGAAATTATTTTAAAGTAAAAGTTTGACAAGTATACACACAGTATGGTCCTAAAATTTTTTTTAATCCTCACCCAAGGATATGTGTATTGCTCTTAGAGAGAGAGGAAGGGAGGGAGGGAAGGAAGCATCAGCATGAGAGAGAAACGCTGATCGGTTGCCTCCTGTGTGTGGTCTCACCGGGGACCGTCCCCACAACCTTCTGATGGATGGACGGCTCTCCAACCAACTGAGCCACACCAGCCAGGACTGATCCTAATTTTATAAAATGATTTGCCTATATACATACATTTTAAAAACAAGAAAAAAAATTAGACTACAATATATCTCTGGGTAATGAGCTTTATTTTTTTTAGTACTTCTCTATATTCTCGAAATAATCATATGCTAAATAATGAAAAAGATAATGGTATTTCCTGCTTGGATTTTGTGATCTGAATTATAGATATGGAATCTCAATTTGCCATCACCATTTGTATTTAAAAACCAGAACAAATGAAGCACAAGTTACATAAGACATGTCTACAGGTCCCAGACAAGCGACATTTTAATACAGATGAGCCCATTTCCCAAGAGTCACAGTCACTTAAGAGCTCCTAAATACTTACATGCAATTTCTTCCCATAATATGGAAAATATTTTAAGTCTAGATTTCCCGGGTCAGGATAAACTGATAGAGTCGTGTTTTCACCCTAGAGTTGAAAGCAAAAAAAACAAAACAAAAAAAACACACAAAAAAACACAAACTTAAAACCAAAACTTTTTAGGTCACAAAAAAGCAAATTTAAACATGCATTTATATTACAGACTCTCATTATGAACAATACGGGGAAACTGCAATGCTGCTCCAACTGCACTAATCACAGGTGTGTTTGGAGAGGCGACTGTTCATCTTGATGTAAACCCCTTGAAACAAACTATCCTGACTCTTCTTACATTTCCTGATACACACGCTTTTCCATGACAGTACCCTCTAATTCACAGCCAGACCTGCTCATGCACTGTCTGTAAACTCTTACTTGTCTTCCAATGACCAAATGCCAGTTCTTCAGCCACTCGGCCGCAGAAACGCATCAGCGGGTTTAGGACCGCTGTACCCCAATGAATAAAGTCCTGTGCCCCCAGACTGGAGAGCAATGGCTGTCACGACCTAGCGGGGCAGCAGGCCCAAAAGTTTTAGGTGATGAACAACCGTGACCGCTGTCGCCAGAGGAGGGAGTATGGTGACATGGACAAAACTACTAGGAAAAATTTAAGGTACTCCAAGCAAAAACCCATTCTTAATCAATTTAAATACCACACTTCCCTTAAATAAGTTTAGGAGCACATGTAAATCAGTGAAAAATATTGTGAGTCTATAGGAATTGTATTCTATGTATTAAAAAAAACAGATAAACATGATACACAAATCTAATCACCATCTATAATCCAACTCGCTCCTGCTGTTTGTTAGATATTTCTAGTATTCTTTTTAATAAGCAATTTATAAAAATTATCTTGTAACACATTCCAAATAGGTCTAATTTTAATGACTGTAATTTTAACACATACTAGATAACATATAGACAATTAAAATCCGTGGCAAATTTACTAAGCACTATGTAAAATAAAACATGACCAAATGCTTGAGTTCCAGATTTGAATACACTAAATTCTATTTTTGAAAGCACACACGGACACCAAAGCTTACTTCATTAACCGTCACGCAGCACACGCACACGAGGCGATAGGGAAGCCGGCACGGAGCGCACAGCGAGCAGACCACGCAAGGGCCGTGCTCATGACCAGACTCCGCCACGGGGAGAGCGCGGGAGAAAACAAGGCTGACAGAAACTGTACAAGCCATTTTAAATTCACTCTTCCAACACCGCTGTAGGCCTATACTCCTTATTTTTAAAAAAGTCTAAAATAGCATTTTGTATCAGAGAAAAAAATAACCACTTTAATATGAGTGCTTTTCTGCACTGCTTTTGTATGAACTACTTTTCCTTAATATGAGCTTAATCCATAGGAACACAGAGATGTTCCCCCAAATGCAAAAGGTTTCCCTTGGGTTACAGTTTATTTCAGTGTGAGCTTCCAAGCAGATGCCACACTTCTCCGATATTTACCTCGTTCATGGAGACCTGACAACCCATAAGAGGGCAGGGCCAGTTATGGAGGGTGAACTGGGGCTCCCAGGAAAGGTCACAGGCTCGAGGTTACCCAGGTGTGACAGGCTCTTAACTGTCCTCTTGGTTTGTACCTAAACCCTAATGTTGGCAGGCTTTTACTTAAACTTGTATTTTATACCTTCTGTGAAAACAAGCATTTAGAAATTGTGAAATATTGAAATGCATATCTGAATAATGATGAGCTACTTAAGGGTAAAGCATACATTTCATAGTTTTCTAGGTTCAAGAAATGGTACCACATTGGAAACTATAAGCAACTAAGTACAGGAGTTCATTAACAGGCACTAAGTTCTACTGAAAACAAAATAAAGTTTTAAAATTAATACATTTTGTTCCTCTTACACAATCATCACCCATGAACTATTTAAAGAATACACCACATATTCTAGGCAGTGATGATCTCTGGGTAGCATTACCATTTTTTTCTTCTGCATTTTTCTAAATTTTCCCAAATGAACATGATTCATTTTTGTAAGAAAATAAAATACCGAAGGAATGAACGACATAAGCCTGTAAAAGGCCACCTGTTAAGGGCATGTCCGTCCCCACTGCTCGTGCAGTGAGTGTTTCCATCTGCCCCAAAGGGACACAAAAACTTAGACGCCACCTGGCCGCTCCTGTGTGACTAGCCTAGGAGTAAAATGCGAAGTTTTACAAGCACTTCTAATTTTGTGTGCTTTTTCTAAAAACAAAAATATCCCATAACTAAATAAACAACACCCCCCATCTGTTTTGATTAGTTTACGTACTTTACACATAACAAAAACAATCTGAAATCGGAGTCATTATACCAGGATTTTTCATCAGCATTTCCCCCGACTATTCTAAAAGCAAAGGACACAGAACACAGGAGGAAAATCCATTTAAAACCCTAAGGGATGAGTTACATGGAGGGTTTTTATATTGGCCAGAGGTTTATAAAACTGAAACCTTAGAAAAGGGCCGTTTAAAGCTTTTGCCCTTCTGGCCTAAACCTGCGTGTGTGTTCCCTTCTGGGCGGGGTGGCTCCAAGGCCCACCACCCAAGCTTATCTGTGTGGTCTGCCGCGTGCAACAGCAAACCCTCCTCATGCAGGTAACGCTGTCATGAAATCAGCACCTGTATGTGGCTGAAGCCTAGCACCCAAACCTTGGGAACTTGCTGCTGGGAAGATCTGCAAGCAAGGAGGTTCATAAAGAGTTACACAACGCAGCTTCTAAATGTAGCTTACAGTGGGAATGTTTTCTTTTGTCTTAAGAGATAAGTGTATGCTCACTAGGTTTTTAGAAGGACTTATTTATCAAGAAAAGCTCGGCTTCGATATAGCATCTGGTTTTAAGTGAGATTCTGGCTTTTTATCCAAGTTTCCTGCTGAGCTGAATATGGCACAAAGAGATAAAGTAGACTGCCTATGGCCAAATATGTATACCTCCACCCGGATGAGAAACCACACACTTCCTGATTTTGTGTGGTACTCACAAGGGAGTAAGTACCCAAAAGAAACTAATAAGGATGCTCTAAAGTGGGGTTCACAGAGTGCGGGCCCCAGACCAGCAGCATCACCATCACCTGGGAACTCCAGGTAAAAAAGCAAATTCTGGGCGTCACCCCAGACCAATGGAGCCAGAGACTTCAGGAACGGGAATCAACAGGCTCTCCCAGTGATTCTAATGCATGACTGAATTCGGGAATCACTGAGCAAGTGTCTGCCCAAACAAGAAATCCATTCATGGTTAAAACAAATAACTTTGTTTTTCCTTCCATAAACAATGTCAGAAGTGATTTCAACATAACCTTTCAAGAGAAATACTTCTGACACACAATTGGAGTTGGAATGTTAATATTTTGCACAACGATAAAATTAAATTTAGAGCTTAAAAGTTTCTCCTCAGAGCTCTTACCCATCATTTACATATTTGTCTTAGTTGCACTTGCAGCATGGAGAGAAAACAAAAGAAATCATGAGATGAAAACTGCACAGCACTCCCAGGAAAATAAAGCAGACACATGAGAGAAAAACAATGCCTCTACCTTGAGGAAAATGTACCGTATTTCATTAAATCTCAGATTCCATTGACATGCACTACTTTATGTACCATTAAGACAAAAAATCTTGTAAGACATCATTAATTGTTGGTCAACCACAATTAATAACACAATAACACAATTTCAGTGTTATTAGGCCAGGGGGAAAAAAGTGAATTTTAGAATAAATGAAATATGATATGTGGAACTGTAAAGGCAATGTCTGTGAAATCAAACGCACATGGAAAACAAGTCTTTTTAAATTGGCATGAGCAAACAGAGAAGGGCTACCCACAAAGTCTGGCGAAATTTTATTTCTCTGAGAATGGCCCTATATGGAGCAGAGGTCCCCAACCCCGGGGCTGCAGACTGGTGCTGGTCCTTGGCCTGTTAGGAATGGGCGAGCGAGCGAAGCTTCATGGGCATCACCGCCTGAGCTCCGCCTCCTTTACCTCCCGTCAACCCCACCAGTGGAAAAACTGGCTTCCACGAAACCAGTCCTAATGCCAAAAAGGCTGGGGACTGCTCCTACAGAGGACTTTAAAACTCATTAGACTTTTAAAGTATTAAGCACATTAAAGCGTTAACAAAAGTTGGGTTATTTTTTGAATACTAACCTTAGAAAGAGAGCATTCTATCTTTGGTTTTCCTTGAGGCTTTAATCCAATTATCTAGGGAAAAAAATATTGATTGAAACATCACAAATGTATACAACAGGCCTTTTGTTGCTAGGGACCAGGAGGGTAAGGGTTGGGGCGAACAGTAATTCTGTGTATTAAAACTGTTACCTGTGCCTTTTATGCTAATTATTTTTGAGAATTAGAATGGACTTTTCAATATAATAATCTTACCAACTCTCTTACCACTGTACTAGGCCAAGCTAGGAAATAAATCAGTTACCAAAGAATTGACCAAAGCACAGTACTGAACTAGCTAGCTACCCTCTTAAAACAAACAGAAGCCATTAAATTCCATGATTTATATGAACAAATAATTAATGCAAACAATAAGAACTGTAGGGCATAATATAACTAATTAACTGTTCTTCATGAAAATACATCAGGTCATGCCCTGGCCAGGTAGCTCAGTTGGTTAAAGCACTGTCCCAATACACCAAGGTTGTGGGTTTGATCCCTGGTCAGGGCATGTACATGAAGCAACCAATGAATGCATAAATAAGTGGAAAAACAAACAGATGTTTCTCTCTCTCTAAAATAAATTTAAAAAAAGAAGTAAAAGATAATATGTCAGATCACAATCCTCATGTTTCCATAATGCTTCCACAGAGCCCGACCATATTCCACGTGTGTTCCACGAAATGCACACACTGGGAGCACCACTGAGCTCCATAGGATGAGTCTATTTTCATGGTTGTAGCTGACGTAACTCTTGTATGAATGATAACGGGTATTTTCCATCTATTTTGTGAAATTTTTGGCATTTTGAATTTATATGCATTTTACATGCGAATGCCTGTAACTAAATATTCCTCATAAAAGACAAAGTATTATAGTAATCTAAATAATAATATAAGCAGCAATAACTATCTTTGTCCACATAATGGTTTTGGGACAAACTGCAGTCAGTATATACATCTCACTACTGATCCCTGTGTCTGATGCTGTCTTCCTGTCATGCTCTGCGAAGCCTGCCCCTGCCGGCAGCCATACTCTCAGAAGGCTGGTCCTGTGGGAAAAGGAACTGAAATTTCTCTTTCTATTGGGAATAGGTTTTCCAGCAATCTAATTGTCCTGAAGACACTCCTAGGAGGCTGGGATTTTAACAGGCATCCCTGTTAAGGGGAAAATTTAATTCATTTTACAAGCTAGATTTTCTAGTTTCACTTTACTTTTAGCTTACTTTGTTAACCGTAATTCTTAAGAAAGTCTTGCTGAAAAAGCCCTCCACCGTTAACTGGCTCCTATGATGTGTCCAGCAGTGTTTCAGTGATTTCTAGAGGGCTGTGGGATAGACAGGAAATGGTCATCGTCCACCAGGAGAGGGGAAGGGAGGAAGGACTGGAGGGGTGTCAGTGTGGGCATTTTAGGATCTGGCTGACACCCCCTACAGGTAACTCCTTATTTAGCAGTGCCAACTTCAGACGACGCACGCTGTACTTTTACTAGGGATGGTAGCCATTTGCTTATCGGATAATGACTTCAGTGCTATGTGAACTCATGATCTTGAGAGGTGTATACCTGTTTAAGAAATTGTCTTTCCCCTGAGTAAATGTTCGGAAATGACCTCATTTTCCAAGGGGAGACCTTGCAAGGCCTCAACAGCATAATTGTATTAGGATGCAACTCTGCAGCGCAGCATTCAATGAGCAGCAGTGCACAGGGGTTAGGGACCACTTACTTCACTGTAGAAGGGGAGCAGCTTCCTTTACACCATGATGGCAAGTTATTATCACTCACACAGGGAGACGTTAGCTTCTTAATTTACTACTGGCTATACAATTCAGGCACCTCTTCTGTGCAACATAGCAAAATGCCGCTAACTGGCTATAACTGAGCTCATTGTAATGCAACTTTATTTGTATTTCTACTATTTAATTATACACACATATACTATAAAAATATGCTTTCCTACTAAATATATGTCAAAACTTCATATATTCTCCATGGGACTTGAAATTACTTTACAGCACAGTATTCAAAGGCGAGCACTGCAAGTTAACAAAACCAGGGCCCGACACCCAGGCCCCCGGCCCCGTGAGGCATCCATCTGCGCCTAAGCACACGTGACTCTCCGACAGGGAAGCACAGAAGTTGTTTTTACTCTCTAAACCATGATTAATCTGTGAACCAATCTTGTTTGTTTCCTGCATTCATTTTTCCAGAGGTCAATCATATCACTATTGGCCTGTTACACAAGCTACCCTAAATGAGATAACATTTTAAAAATACTTGTCAGCTTCTCAATAGAGGGCATTAGGAAAAAGCAGCAACAGCAGCAAAATATGTACATACTCTGTTCATTTTCACAAGTATACAAGGGTGTCCACTGGAGTAGCCAAAGTCAGGATCGTCAACCCCACTGCATTCTCCAAGTAAGGTAACAGGAAACTGACATGCTTTATAAACTGGACCCATCTGTTCAAAGAGTGCTCCATCAGTACACTTTGAGAGATTGTTCTGTGCTTCTGAAGCATATGCTAAAAAGGAAACATATGTGTGCACAGATCAGCTGAAAAAAGGTCTTAAATACACCAGGAATATATCCTCCTTTGGACAACATTCTTCAAAGACAAAAACAGCAATGCTAAGTATTAGATAATTTTAGGGAAAGAATGTTAAGTCTGTTCCTTTAACTGTTAAGAGTTACCTAGTGCTCTAAAGTTACTGCATTTCAACAATGATACAAGCTGGATTATAGACCTCTTTTCTCACCGTGAGGTGGTCCAAGCCATGGCTATGGCATCCTCTGAATGCCGTCTGTGCTCCTGGCCCAAGACACAATGGTGAGGACATAAAAAGATACTGCCACTGCCCTTCTGGAGCTTATAGTGCACGGTGAAGACAGGTGTTAAGTAGAAAATCATAACTGAAGGGTCTGAAGATATACAGCACTATGCAGGCTACACTAAGGTGACTTGAAACACAGCTAAGATTTAAAGACACCTTAGAGAACGGTGTTCTTAGCAGACATGGAGGTAACTAGATTGATTAAAGTGGTAAAAGGGTAAACTGGTTACAACTTGGAGATGGGGAGGGAAGAGGAGAAAAAAATACAAATGCTTGCCAGATGCTTGCCCTGCCCTGGCACAGTGTCAGGCAGAAGTGGTACAACAGTGAGCAAGCCTGACATGGTCCCCGCTGTCACTGAGCTTAATGTACTGGAAGATACCCACTGCTAAGCAGTCTGTATGAAGTGCAATAGTGTCTCAGAAAGAACCACCGCAGTGTGGTCCAAGCGAACAGAACTCCTGAAAGACCCCGTGAAGCGCAGGCAGAGTGATACGAGGCCCTGCCAGCCCACCCTTCACAACTGCAGCCCTTCCCAACTCTCCGCAACTCCCTTTGCTGCCTTGTTCTCCTCCGCACACTGATTACCTTCTGATACACTGCGGGCCAGTGACCGCCACAAAGACTTTTCCTGTGTTTACTGACGGAGCCTAGAAGAGCGCTCAACAGAGAAGGCACTCAAAAAAAGTCTTTGTGGAATGAACAGGACTGCAGTGAGGAAGGAGGAGGGCAGGGAACTGTTTTCATTATAGACCTTTCTTTCCTATTTGATTTTTAATCCATGGATCCTAGCTCATAAAAAGTAAGTGTATCTTTAACTATGAAGGGAGAGAGACTTAGGAGGGTAGCTAACAGAAGATGTGGGATCAAAAGAGGATTTCGATTTAAAACAGGAGGGAACTGAGGGTTTTGCATGTTGACAGGAAAGATCCTATAGAGATGAAACACACCTAGGAAGGGACTGCAAATAGTGTGATGCTTCTGAGGCAGGAGAGGGGAGAGGAGCCGAAGCCTGGCTGGTGGTGCAGCCGATCGCCCTCCTCAGGGCAGGAGGGTGCCGCAGACAAGTGGGAGGAACTGGCAGTTTGTTGTATTAGCGGCGGGACACAGAGGGAATTCCCATCTCAGTTTCAAATTTCTCTTGATTCAGAAACAAAGGTTAGAGTCAAGTGCCACCCAATGATGGGGGTCGATTCCGAGAAGCGCATCCTTAGGTGAGCGCATCATTGTGCAGACATCAGAGCGCGTACGCACACAAACCCGGACCGCACAGCCTGCTACATACCAGGCTGTATCACATAGCCTATTACTCTACAGGGGAGGAAAAACCGTTTTTCCTGTCCTTTTGGGTTTTTGGCTGAGACATCCCCATAATAAAAGATTAACAGGAGAAAGACAAAAGTTTAATAACAGGTATACCTCCTGTATACATGGGGGAAACCCAGAAAAACTGAGTAACTTGCCAAAATAGCCCAAAACTATCACTTTATATACCATCTTCAGCTGAAGACAAAAGATGTTGGGGTTGGGGTGTCAGTTATGGGAGTCGACCTGGAAAAGCACAGTAAACAAGGGCAGCAGGTTTTCATGTTTCTCTTCTGCACTGATGAGAATTTCTAGAGATAAGGTCCATCCCCTTACACATGGAGATTGGCCTTGCAAACGTAAAGGTCTTTTACCAAGGGTAACTTTTAGTTGGTATTCAGAGCTGCTTCCAAGGCTGCTGTTTCCTAAAATTAAACAGCCTAAAATAAACCCTATGCCATGGGCGTTTTGGGGTGACAAATTCTGTTCCCCTATAACTCTGGCTACAAACCTGTACAACAAGCTGCTGTACCGAATACTGCTGGCAACTGTGACACAATGGTATTTGTTGTAATGCACTGAGCTATAGCCTTATGATGGGTACAGTGTTGCTAGGCAACAGGAATTTTCCAGTTCTATTATAATCTTATGGGACCCTGTGGTAAACACAGTTGTTGACTGAACCATCACTATGCGGCACATGACCATGTATGAAGAAAGTGGGTCCTAAAGGAAAAGGTAGGGAAGTAGAGGTTTGAGTAGAGGTTGGAAATAATTATCCAGAGCAACTGCACAGCCGTGTCAGGTAGCAGAGCGGGCTGAGGGGGGCTATCAAGTAGCCCAGTGTTAATTAGTCTCATTGAAAATACTTGTTCAGCAGCACCTGGCTGCTCAGGGGCAGGTTCTAAGGAAGAGCGTCATCCAGGAATTTTATGGCTCCATCCATTGCAATTTATGACAAATAGAGGCAAGTGATTTTAAAATACTGGCAGGAGTAAAGAAGACATAAAAAACCATGGAATTAAGCTTGATAAGAAGGAAGATTGGGGGTGAAGGACTAGGATAAAAGGGTCAGTAAAAGTCCCAATGAGGCAGAGGCTAGTAAAGGAAAGTTACACAAGCAAACTGCAATGACAGAACGTCACGGTAGGAAAGCCTTAATCTGCGATTTTGGCAATGGACTCCTACACGTTCTAAGGAATGGCTGTAGGAGTGTGTAGCTCAGAAAAGGTGAGACAATCAAGAACCAAGAAGCCAGAGCATTTGATGATTATTCATGTTAATATCATGGGGTTAGACCAAGCAAAATGTGAGAAAAAACTGGGCCAGAGGGCTATTATGAATCTTTGCAACTGGTAACTCCAAAAAAACTCAAAACTGATACACAAATTTTTTTTTTAATGATAAACAACATCCCCAGTTCCCTGCACAAGCACAACACTGGATGCAAAAGATCCAAGCACTTAAGAGGCATTATTTTATATAATATAGTTTAAATTTATTACTCAAATACTTTCCATTTTAATGCAGATATAAATGTTATGGCTCAATGAACTTACTCATGTACTACTTATGGGATAAAAAAATTCAAAGCAACTGCCCATAGGCTTAGACCCCTCTTCCCGTAAGTTAGAATATCACAGCTAATCATAAGATCTACTTGCAAGTCCTCTAAGTTGACTGTGTTTGACAGGGAAAAAAAAAAAGGTAAAATAATCTCTACTAGTTTCTATAATAACTTAGATCTTTTATCTTACTCTAAGAAAAGAAACTTACGCTTTAGAAATTTCTTAAGGTCTTCAATGTACCCTTTATAGGACTGTGGATCAGACATAGTGAATGAATACTCCAACGCTGACACCGGTTTTGGAAAAACCATAAGTCCTATAAAGAGATAAAGGAGAAAAGGGGAAATTAACTGCAGTAAATTCCCTTCTCTTTCCTCCAAACCCTAAAAAACACATCTCAGCAAAGTTACACAGAAATCTGTGTTCACAGGTAGGTTGAAATTACCAAGAACGTCCCACTTCTGACTATGAGGGTCCACATCTATAGCAAAAGAATCTCAAATGCGCAAAATCACCTTAGGCCAATTAGAAACTTTGCTAAATATGTCTGCTACAATTAATTATAATTGCTCTGTTCCTTAAAGAGGCAAGTTTTACTTTGTATTTTTTTTTTTTATTGTTCAATTACAGTTTACTTTGTACTTTCTATATTTATTTTTCTATAAAATATTTTAGGTTTTGTCAACTTGCCATTAATATATGGAGAAAAATTTTAGTAAATCAAATCGCAGCCCTTTTGCCATTCAAACAGCCGTATGGAAATATTCATAAAGAAAGCTCACCTTATTCAGTGAACGAGGCCTTGGGAATTTTAACTCTGTGGTTAAATTGCCTTCCTTCAACAATAAACACGGCTCTACAAAATGTGATTCTCATGCTGGCTGGTGTGGCTCAGTGGGTTGAGTGCCAGCCTATGAAAAGTCGCTGGCTCAATTTCCACCCAATAAGGGCACAGGCCTGGGCTGCGCACCATGTCCCCGACTGGGGCGTGTGAGAGACAGCTGATCGATGTTTCTCCCCTTCTTTCTCCCTCCCATCCCCTCTCTAAAGATGAATAAAATCTTAAAAAAAAAAAAAAAGCGCTTCTCTCATACTGACTTTGGAGTATAACCACCAACAATTTCATAGCAGGAGTCCACATTCATGTATATAGTACATGTTCCACGAGTTTATTGACAGAAAATGTAAGCATATTCATCTGTAAGAAACATAATAAGACTTCCAACTTTAATAGAAGCTGTCGTTTAAAAAGCATTAGATCTAGATTATTAATTCAGCTTTGCAAAAAGAGCTTCAAAAACAATCCTAAAATTTTCACTAGTTTCTAAACATTCCCCACTGCAAAGTATTAAAGATATGCCTTGCACTGAATCTGAAAAAATACACAAATTAAAAGTGATTGTTTTAGTTTTCATTAGAATTGCTGCCTATGGTCATCTCTTTCTTTTTAAACCAGATCCAGTTTCTTTTAAACCATAAATACTTGCCTGAGTTGAATTGTACAGCTTTTGAGTTAAACTAGATCCGCTACTATCTAAATACAATAAAGCACTGTTCCTAAATGGCACAGCAAATCTTATTCTGTATGAGGCACAAATGCGCCCATGATCAACCCCACATTCACCTACCACAACAGAGCAGATCACTTGAATTTGTATGATCCCATAATGTCTTTTTTCTTACCACTCCACCCACAGAAATATTACTATAAAATCAGCAATAACTTATTTTTTTAAATAAAAGCATTTAATGGAGTACAGACCACCCCCCCAAAAAAGTGGGGGTGGGGGGCGGCGCGCGCACATGTTAATAAATCTGACCAAAAGAAACCTCACAGAATGATATAATTTCCCACCTGGGCAAGTCAGGGTGGGTAGTCCTGTCTCAGAGCTGTAATTTCTCTAGTAAAAGGTTATCTTTGCCTTAAGCAAGCCCTATCCATTGTTTCCCTGCATCTAGTTAACAAACCTTTCAAATGCCTATTTTTCAGACCCCTTTGTAGGGTGGCTACCCTCAAGAGAGCAAATAATCCTGTCAATAATTTTAGCTCTCCTGTAATCCAATCCCCAGAGCCCTGCTTTCTCTGTGCTTCCTGTAATCTTCCTTATGATCCCTCCGTAGACTGTGAACTGTCACGGGGAGCATTTGAGACCTTGCTTCCTGGCAATCTCATAAGTTTGACTCAAATAAACTTATCAAAATTCCCTACAGGTTTGGACATTTCTTAGGTTGACAGTAGAAGTAACACCTCTGACCATCCGATAAATGAAAGAATAATCTGTTATATACATGTTACTGTTTTTCTTTACGTTTTATAGCAGGAACAAGCCATATTATTATACTGCAAGCAAAAATGTAACAGAGTCAAGGCAGCTTGCATGTACCTGTAAAAAACATCTACCTTTTAAGAAAAACCCAAAATAAAACATGCAGATTTCTAAATTAATTTTAAAGAAAAACATGAAGAAATCTGTTATATTTAGAAACTGCATTCCTTTGTATGACTAATTTTAAGAGAATTTTTAAAAATTTACAAAATTTTGTATGAATGTTAAAACAATTTCCGACACCAGTTACTTCTGAGGTCCACAGCAATGCTCCCGGAGCCCTAGCTCCTGCGATTTATCAGCCAACAGCCCGTTTGAAATTCTTACATAAAAAAATCCACAGCGGGACAGTGCGGTGCAGCCACATTTTCGACATGCACACTCCAAATAAAGATTTTAGCTTACCCCAAACCATGACCATCTCCAGAATGTGAAGACTACAATAACTTATTTCTTTCCAATCTCAACCACTGGGGTACGAATGTGTGTGTGTGTCAGTAGGGGTGTGGATAGGCAGTATGTGCTTGTGATTGAGAGAACACACACACCCACACACACCACCCCTGAAACTTGAAGCTAGTGATTATTTTACTGGGTAAAAATGTACTGAAATGCTGATCATTGTTAAAAAAAAAAAAAAAAAAAACTCAGAAAATGCAAGCAAAAAAACAAAAATTGCCCACAATCCATGAAGATGTTTAACTAATGTATACTCATCTAATATTATACATACATATGAATGTGTGCATATTCATTCATTTATTTAAACTAATGATACATTAAGAGCCATAATACACTTGGTAAATAATTTTATGGAACTCAGTTTAAAACTGTACTTAAATATATTAAACATATTTCACTGCTTATATTATTCATGCAATTATAAAGAGTTTAATATTTCTGAAATAGATCAGCTTATGTTCAATGGTAATTAACATAACTGAAGCAGTAAGAAAAATAATTATCTTAAAATTAGTATAAGTTGAAAGAAAATAGCTACAATGAGAGATGCGAGAAAATTAGCATGGAGCTAGTCTGATACTTGGTCAAATAAACTGAAAGGTTAAGAATTACTCATGTTTAGGCAGAATTAGCTGCAAACAAAGGAAAACCCATTAAAATACACTGTTCTAAGAAAAAGTAGGTTGAGAAACTGGTTCAGTTTGGCTGTGGACATGGCTTACAAGTCCATGCAGTGAGCAAGGATCTAGATTAAGGTTCGTGTCGTGGCACTACTGACACTGTGAACTGGGTAATTCTTCATTGTGGCAGGTTGTGCTGTGCATTGTGGATGTTTATTTCGGAACGTGCCTGGCCTGTATTCAGAGTGGCGCCGCTCCAGTGCGACAACCAAAAATGTCTCCAGACATTTCTGAATGGCCTCTGGAAGGCAAATCAACACTGGATGAGAGCCACTCCTGTGGACAGAAACCTCATGCTAGATCCCCCCTTTCTTGGCCTGCCTGCTACCCAGATCCCACTCTTCCATGTAGAGCCTTCCATTTGTATTGTCTCTAGAAGTTGTTCGCATTTTGGGGAATATACACTGGGGTTCTGGCATGTTATTATCTTCTTTCTGTAAAAATAGCCAGCATCTTGAACACAAGAGCCATGGCCAACAATGAAGGCAGAGCTGGCATTCCAAGACTGTTTCAGCCCTGGCTGGGGATCTCAGTTGTTTAGAACGTCATCCCTCCATCAAATCTGGCTTTACTATAATTCTCGATATTAATTTCTGCTTGCTTTTGGCAAAGGACACAAGATTTATCAGCTCAGTATGTAAATATTAAAGGTCTTTGTATCAGTGTGTAAATATTAAAGGTCTTTGTATCAGTGTGTAAATATTAAACAATCAACAAAATCAAAACTTTCACATTACCTAATGCCAAGGTTTAACAACCTTTTATCTGCTATGTAAAACATTTGTGATGAAGCTATACAAACCATTCCAATGGCAAGTTAGTTACCTGGACTAGAAATCTGGTCACGATATTTTGGAACTTCATCATTCAGAGTCTGAAGCATAACCCACATTGTGAACGTGAAGAGTGTAGCCAGGAACCCATAAAAGACTAGGTAGAAGAGCAAGATCAAACCTGTAGAAGAAAATAAAACTTATGAAATTTGGAGATATAAACATACATTGTGCACACGTTGTGTCCAGATTAAAAAAAAACAAACCAACCACTGCAAGGCCAGGATGCCAAGCTCTGCCATGCACACAGCCAAATATCTCCATATTCAGAACATGAGCTTGCCCAAGCAAGGAGTACTTCAGCAAGGGAGCACCCACCCACCCTGCTAACACTTCCAGGTATAAGTAGCTTCTACAAGGCATACTCAGGTTCAAGGTCAGAGCTTTAAAATTCTGGCACTTGGAGGAGTGTTTCCCAAATTGGACTTGATGCCCTCTAGAAAGATAAAAGATTTTAAGTGGGACAAACCCAATCTGTACATGTTTCTTTAAGTGGCAAATAGAAAAGAATTAGTATATCAACCCCGTATTTCGTACAGTAATTATATGCATAAATTTAAGTGTTAAAAAGTGAGTTGATTTAAAGAATAGCCAGGGAATGTACAGAAAGGCAAATCATGAAGGTGGTATTCCACGAATAAAGTTTAGGAAACACTAGTTGAGTGGAAGGCTCATGCGAAAGCAAAGAGAGGTCAAGACCAGAAACAAGCACCCCAACCAACGGGCCTTCACAACGCTACTGCGAAGCACAACGCGAAAGCCGGCTGACACAAGCCTCAACATCAAGGGCTCGATCTTTGTCTCTTCACAACCTGAAAACACCATGATCGTTCTATCCTAAGCCTGTGACCTTTTTTTGAGAACATCTAAAAATAATGATTTTTCTCAAATGTCTATATTTGAAGTTCTAGCGGTCACCATCAAAATTACATAGAATATTAAAATCACACATTTATAGTTAAATGTTTAAAAATTAATCAATGAATATTAAATCCTCAGGTATAATAATAGTGAAAAACACTTAATTCCTCCGAGCTGAATCAACATCAGCTTCATTTCCCGAGTCATAAACCTATTCTGTGTCCTCAATCTACTCCTAGCCCAGCGGCTAGAACAGCCCTGTTCCTGTCCTGGAGTCTCCTGGACTTCCTCAACCCTACTCTCCAGAAGTTTTCCCTAATAACATATTTCAAAATATATCCACCCCCTAGCCCCCCGCCTGGAGCAGCTTTACTACATTCTTCTGATTCTCAAAAGACTTCATGACCCCAAAACAGATTTTGGTAAAAGCTAAGTAACTTTTCTGTCTTAACTGCAGCCCAGAAAACTGTCTCCCTTTCTCCCCCTTTTCAAGTAATGAGGAAACACAGTTAAGGCAATTTTATTTTAATTTAGACTAACATTCCCCCATCCCCACCCTGCCCCAATTACCAGGAGGCCAAAAATAGGGAGCGAGAGGACAGAAGGAGGAAAGGAGAAGAGCATGTCACCTTCACACAGCATCGCTTCCCTACCCACACAGCGACCCTGTTGCAGGAAAGAAAGGGAAGACCAATCTCAATGAGGCAAACAGTTAACCACAGAAGGGGAGGAAACACATGTGAAGCTCAAAGGCTAGTTTAATGACATATAGGAGAGAAATGATCCTTTCAGATCTACATGTTTGTAGGATCTACGGATAAAATCCTCTACCCAGCGGAGCAGAGTGGACAAATATTGTACATACATGTAATGAGTGTGGGCTTTGTTCCAACACAACCTTGTACAAAAACAGTCAGATTGAGGCCCGAGTAGTTTGTCAACGAATGCAGTAGATAGTAAACTGAAGAAGTTCGAAACAAAAGTGTTAAGAGTTAAATTATTTAGCACTGTTTTAAAGCCATCTCAAATATTTTTATCATAACATTTTCAAAACTTCATTTTAAATTGCCATAAACACGGTTACAAAGCAAATAAACATATAGGAGACATGAAGAAGCTGTATCCAAATATGGTTTCTAAAGAACCATTACACAATGAAAAGTGTTCAAACTTCCTACAAAGAGGTTCCTAAAACAGATACACAAGTTAACAGCCATGTCCCAAATCTGATGCCATGTATTAGTACATTAAGGTAATTCTGAATGTAGGGAGTGTACAAACAAGTCAGTCAGTCATTTCCAGCACTGAAGTGAGTTTTTCCTACTTGATTAAAAAAAAAATTATTTTGCTAAGAGATCCAAACCTAACATTTAAAAATTAAAATGAATCTCACTTATAAATCTCATACATGAAATGACAGCAACATTTAACCTCCTCTCCCCTCCTAAAGGGAAAAGAAAAACAACAGAAAATAAAAACAGAAATTGTAAACTGCTGCTCTCACAGGGGTAAACGTGCAGTTGGACACTCAGATGCAGTTTCCTGATGGGTCTAACACCATGACGGAGCTCAAACTGGAGGCCTCCTCGGTTAGTGACGGGGTGGTGCGGACGGGAACTGTTCAATGTGCCATGTCTGCGTCAGTGCTAGTCATGGCAAGCAGGAAACAATAAATGAAGCCTAAGTTGTGCTTATTTTACTGATGTTCCCTAGCTTTAAATCCTTCAAGAATTTCCTTACATCGCTAACCTAAAAAAAACTGAGTAAAGTTCTGAAGGAACATAAGTATTTTAAACAGTCAGAAGTCAACAGAATCATAACCAAAGATGTTTATCCAAAATAAATACCAAAAAGTTTCATGCTATAATTACCCTGTTGTTCTAACAGTATAGAGGCAAAACAATCCTACCACTACATTTTTCACTCTCCAATCGAAGGTACATAATAAAACTGTTGAACAATTACAAACTTCTGCCTCTCCCTCAAAGAGGAATTCACCCTTCTCCTCCCTCTTCCTTTCTGTTCCTCGAGAAGCCCCGTTTTCTAATCCTTTCCCTCTCTCTGCTCCTGTTTTGATGAGGGGGTAGGTGCTAAGGACAGATGCAACTGGAGGCTATGGAGCAGGGTGGTTACATGCAGGGGCTATGCCAGTCAGACTTGGGCTCAAATCCTGGCCTGACCACTTTGTCCCATCTGAAAGAAAAGGGGGTAAAATAGTATTTAATTAACTTACATTATAGAAATGAAAATATAAGTCCAGGGACTCCATGACATAAAAAGAAAAGTATTCAGGGGGACAAAGGCCAAAAACCTAGAAACATTTTTGGAATGATGCTGCAACTACACTTTAAGGCTAAACTTAAGGTTCAAAGTCTAATCTAGTCAATTGCATTTTATTCTCAAAAATGTTTTAACAAATGAGGTTGGATTCATGTGGACTCTTAAGCAGCAAGAATTTGGCCAAGGTTTACGCTATGTCATCCATGGGAAAGAAAAGTTGGTTGTAGTGTCCAGTCACTCCCTTTCAACCGCAACTAGGTGTCTGACAATTCGGTTTTGGTAGCAACCACCTGGAGTAGCACAGACTAATTCATGGCTCAGTCCTCCCAAGAATGCCCTTCCTGCAGATGCCATCCAAACTTCTTAGCAACTGGTTTACCAACCTGGGAGGTTCCCACTACACCTCAGGTTTGGTTCTTCCCTAGAAGACTTAGGACTCAGGAAAGGGCCATACTTAGGATTACAGTTGATCATCAAGGATACACAAAGGGGGAGGTCTGGGAGGGAACGCAGTTTCTATGCCCTCTCCTCCTGGAAGGAAGGCACAGCACCGTCTCAGCACATCCATGTGCTCCCCAGCCTTGAAGCCCCACTAAGCATCAGTATCCAGAGTTGTTATTGGGGTTTCATTAGGTAGGTATGACTAAATCATAGGCCACATGATTGAAACCAATCTCCAGCTCCTTCCTCTACCCTCCCTAGAGGTCAGAACTAGCTCCAAAACACATGGTTGGTCCCTCTGGTTGCCAGCCCCCATAGGCCCCCATGGAACCTATCTAGATGCCCCACTATGTGTCATTCTAGTACAATAAAGACACTCCTATCAACCTAGCACCCCTCTGTACTAGGAACCTGGGACACGGACCAGACAAACTGTTATACAACACCAGTACCATAACCTGGCGGGGGATGGGGGTATCATTAGGCTTCATAAAGGCCTGCACATACACACCCACTCACCTCACTGGGAGACCCTGTGATCTGACTCTCGCTGCCAACTCCCTTGCTGTCTGACGGTGCCGAGATACTAGAAAAACTGTGCCTCTCCTTGGAAATTTTTTTCTGATTACAAACTACATCCCCTTGGTAAACAAACTGGCGTTTACAGTTTAAAAAATTTTAAAGTAGCCCTGGCTGGTGTGACTTAGTAGACCGAGCGCTGGCCTGTGAACCAAAGGGTCGCCGCTCCATTCCCAGTCAGGGCACATGCCTGGGTTGCAAACCAGGTCCCCAGGAAGGGGTGTGCGAGAGGCAACCACACACTGATGTTTCTCTCCCTTTCTTTCTCCCTCCCTTCCCCGCTCTCTAAAAATAGATATATAAAATGTTTAAGAAACAATTTTTTTTAAGCAGGCTTATGTATCGCTCCACACCATCCCCCTCTCCTTTCTTGGAGAGTGAATAAAGACTTTACTCTCTACACTTTCTTCTGTGAATTCTTTCACTCTTGTCACCGACCACCCTAACATTTTGGTGGCCCATACAGGGATGTTCTCTATTTCTCCCTCTCCTCTGGCCTCCTGAGACTTGCGACCAAGAGAGCAGTGGGCAGTGGATGCGCATCCCATGCCAGCTAGTCCCCTAACCTTGTCTCTATGAGGTTGAGGGAGGGTTCTAATCCTTCTCTGTCTCTGGACTCTGTGGAGAGCCACCTCCTCACCAATCTTCACAGCCAGCGATTGGACTGGAAATTACTGGAAGCAAAAACAACTAACTGTTCCCTACAGCCGCAGGCAGAAGATAACATTGGAACAAACTGCTGCCTCATATTATAACACCCAACAACCCAGGGGCCACACAACAGAAAACCCCCAGCCTTCTTTAATCTTATTATAATCCAATAAAAACTCAAAATATATATATATATTTTTAAAGCAGACGCAAGTATAATTTAAAAAAGTCAATTATGGACTTCCAGTCAAGGTGGAAATGTAAGTAAACACACTTCACATCCCTGCACAATTACACCAAAAATTACAA